TTTAAAGATAACAGGATAACAGTGCATGTTAATGATGTCGAAGTTATGGACTTCCAGATGTCAGCTGATACGTGTAATACGTTTAAAGATTTGACTGAAGTCACAAGGATACAGCTACAGAGTGGCTATACAGCTATCGCCGGTTACAGGTTGACGCCGCAAGAGGATGAAATTGGTAACGAGGAGGGGGGAGACACTGATAACGAGGAGGGGGGAGATATGGGGCATTACTCTCACGCCTTTAACTGCAAAGCCAGCGGAATTGTTCTCGCTAGTTTCCTGTGTGTGCTGAACTTGATTATCTAGAGTTGCTGCGAAAGTGAAACAGTGTTAATGTTTGTAGACTATTTATGTTTTTAGACTTTAGAGTACAGCTGTTTGTAGAGTACGAAACACCTCTGTTACGTGATTGTTTCAAGATTTTTGTAACGTTATCAATATTATATTTCGTATTACTTTCATTTTTAGGTAGCATGAATAGTTTCTAGTAGTAAAGTTTATTTATTTAGAAAAAAGTTTAAGAAATGCTTAAAAAAAGATGAAAAAAAGACTTTAAAGGTTTGGGTTATAATATAATATTGTTAGTTGTGATGAGTACAAATTTTGATAATTGAGCAATTTTATCGGCTCCTAAAAAAAGATGAAAATAAAAAGACTTTAAAAGTTTGGGTTATAATATAATATCGTTAGTTGTGATGAGTAAAATTTTGAATTTTGATAATTGAGCAATTTTATCGGCTCCTCAAATATTGGCAATCTTTATTAGTTTATTGTATCACCCACGACGGCAACCCATATGACAATTGACAATGGATCGTTTACATATTACAATTACATGCCCAGGAAAATTTTATACTGGCTGGGGCCTATCTCCAAAAGTAAAATAAATGTTCGCCACGTAAAAATAACTTTTCCTCCCTAGGAGGAAAACTTGAGACAATGTAGAGGGTGGGCCAAAGGTCATTGGGCAAACGTTGGCCTTAATAGCTCAGTCATTGAGTGCCCAATTGAAATAATTCTTTCTAGTATGACTTACTACCACCACCATGGTACGGTAGTGTCAAATCGAAAAATATTCGAGTTCATTTTTTTTCAAATGAAGGTTCATTTTTGCATTTATTTGATAGTTTGGATAGTCGGATCGAGCCAAATTTTATTGGATTGTGTTTGTCCATTCGAATTATGAGTTTATTCATTATGTGTGATCAGGTGATTGGTTTACTTAATCACGTGATAAGGTGACCCCGTTAACCACCCCGTTAAACATTATGGGAATCGTTAAGGCTGCCCAATTACGGTGTCACATAATCACCCAATAAATTTTGCTAACGAAATATACACAAAATTTTTGATAATTTGTTCCTTTCTGATCAAATGCAACATGTAATAATCTACCGTCTCTGATAAAATTTGGAATCCAGCATGTTCAGAGAGAACAATATAGGTGTTTTAATATTGAATGGGCGTGGTCTAAAATACTCGAATTTTCAAATCTTGACGACAAATTCCTCGAACTAGAAGGTACATGCAGTATGTTATCTGCAAAGCAACAGCTCTCAAATATAAAACACGGCGGAGCTATTAAGGCCAACGTATGCCCAATAAATTTTGGCCGCACCCTGTAGATTTTGAGTTATCGCGAAAAGGCTCATTTTGGGTCAAATGAAAGTCCGCAACTTCATAATTTTGCAAATTCATGTCCTCTGATTGGCAAAAGAAGACACGCGATCACTTTTATAATTTATATTAGTAACACTGAACATGCCCAGCCATTATAAGTAAGGTTTTCTGGGTGCAGGTTCTGAGCTTGCGATCAATACTTTTTATCATTTATACTGCATGATTTAAGACTTTTAAAAGTAGCTGAAAGTTGACCAAGGGGCCATCTACTTGTACCCTCCCCATGTCCTGGTGTGACCAAGTTTTCAAAACCACCCCCTCCCCCGGACGTCCGGGAATTGTCGCCAGGCTTTCTCATTCCTTTATTCTTGTCATTTTTTCCCGATCCATGACTCAAAGTGCCGAAGGCACAAAAGAGTCAAGGACAAGGGTTAGCGAACGAGGTTTTTTTTGTATATGGTAGCTTTGCGACCGTGCGAGCGTGCCTGCGAACGTACGTACGTACATGACATACGTGCCCTCGCACACTGTTATTGCCCACGCGTGACAATATTATTAAGCCCACGTATTAAGTAAACTATAAGAAGTTTAGAATTTAGCGTGCATGCACACAAAGTCAAATGCATGATGCATCAACTTGACTGATTGTTCCCAGAAACAATCAGTCAAATTGATGCATCATGCAAACTTACAAAGTTGCATCCAACAATTCAATTGCATCGCTTTGTTGGCTTGATAATTGAAGTGCTTTCCCAAAATTTCAAGTTGGTTGTTCACAATTTAATCGAGTTATGACCCTTTTAAGATCTTGCAGATGTGTGATCCAGCACTTAATCAGTGATATCTTCCATCTTCACTCAATAAATGCTCTGATTGGTTGGAGACTACTTATAGGACAGCAACCGAAACGCTATAACGGTTTTAAGGAACGTCACTATCAGTATTCACTCAAAGGGATCAGATCGTCATCACTTTATGGTGACAATAGCTAAAAAGAGAGATTGGCGTGCCAAACCCACTGTAATTAATTAAATTTGACGAAACTTTCAGGAAATCTAAATTTGACCCATATCTATAAATTAATCTCTGAAATTTCCGTGCAATTCTTCTAAGAAGAATTACGTGAGTTATTAAAGGGTCACCCTGTAGTTTGACAAGCTTGCAAAGTTTCAAAAGATTTCAAGAAGAACTTTATATAATCACAAGGGCAATCCAAAGTTGACAGAAAATGGTGAAAATAACAATTTTCAGTGATTTTAGCAATTTTATTTTTATATCAATTTGGACGTGTCCCCAAGTGTGCAACTTTTTGAATTTCAACTTTAAAACTAGCCTAATACACAATATAGACCTATATAAGTATATCACTTAATCGTCAATTATATGAATTTTACCTGTTAAAATATATCATCTTTAACTGATATCAATTTAGTTTAACACTGTTAGCTTTAAAAAAGAAAATAATGCTAACATTCTTTTGTAGGATGTAGTGTAGACGGTAGACATGTCCTGCAAAACGTCTTCGTGTCTTTATAATATCTGTCCCCGATGAAATCTTTCCGTAAAGAACGGAGTTAGGTGTATGTGATTTCTTCTTTTCTTACAGCAGAAGTAGGCTAGAAACTGTGACATCAACATGTTTCTAGTTAAAATGGAGAGTGTTCTGGGCAGGATCCTCTGGAGCTCTTGCTACACGGCGTTAACTGTATCCGTGCATTACCATTCCTGGGTGTCAGTAGCGCGAGTCTAATGCTCGGACCCACTCCAGAGTGAGGAACAAATAGTTTACTACCATAGTTTATTTTCATGTCGATAAATTGGACAATAGTTTAAATGTTATATAAATCTCCATACCGCTGTCTTACTCATGTAGGCTGTGTCCTGTGATGTGATCGACAGCTTGTTACAGCTTGTTAGTGTACGGCTAGCACGATCCTGTCCTCAAATAGTCAATCACGTATCGTCGTATCGATGGATCAGATCTCAATGGGTCACATCAGCATTAGAACAATAGGAGCAACGTCACGAGATAACCCGTGAGCTTGTGAAATACGAATGTGAACCGAAATTACAATATGATCCGAAATTCGGACAGATGTCGCCAAAAACGACTCATGTCCGACAGCGACATCTGTCCGAAATCCCTAATTCGGCTGTCGGACAGATGTCGCTGTCGGACAGATGTCGCCCAATCGTCGCTGCCCTTTAGTACTAGTAGGAACCCCTCTTCACATGACACTGTCAGCACTGTTCCTGCTTCTACCGGGAATGTTGTATCTCTTGTGAGCTGACATTTTGTCACGTTTTGTGTTGTTAAATCACCAGATTCTTTGGTAAAAGCGTCATTATTCTGTGAACGCAATGGTGACTAAGTTACTGACAACTTATCTGTAGAAACCGCTTATTATAGTAGGGCGTAGGTTTATTGTCTGTTTGGTTGATATGGCTAGTAAATATTACTCAACAGTCAACACTCGGGTCAAGCTATTGTCCATTCTTTAAATGATTTGTAATACTAAAAGAAATTGTGGTATTCTGTGGATCTTATAGACTCAAGTTTGTTGTTTTCGGTTTTATCTTTAACGCAAAGAAGGAAAAGAAGGAAATGCTACGGCGAACAAATATTAACATCTATAACAATTTCATCAGATTTCAGAATCCGGTTGAATATCAGTACTGACCTTTCATTGTACAACAGCATTTTCAAAAGTTTGTGGATCAGGACGTAATTACATAAAAATTTAAAAAGAAAAATGTAACAAAAAAGTTCATTAACTAATTCCTTTGTATTTACTGACTCAATTATTTGAATACTAGATATGCACTACGGGTCCTTTTATTTTAATAAAAAAATGTGCGAAAAATCGAGTAATTATATGTAAGTTAAAACTGAGAAATCACAGCAAACAAAATTCCAAATTGTTAAAACCTTAAAATTTAAAATTATTTATCAATTCAGTCCAACTTTTTTATGGTTTGTAATTGCTTCTGTAATTGTTTCTTAACATCACCCTTGTTAGACTTAGAAAGTGTTGTCGCACCTTGTAAAATAGTTTCATGTTCGAACAAATGCATATTTAACTCCGGTTAAACTCGTTTTTGTTCCGTTTCTTTACACCCCCTGTTATAGCATCTGTTAATAATTTATATTTATTTTATCTTCTTACTTCTAATATTCAAACTCGCAGGAAGACGTTCAGATGAATATTGTCTGTACAAACTGCCAACTTTACTCAGTGTCGAAAGTGAAATCATTGTACAGTGTTACCATTAACTTGAAGTTGTAACTATATGAGTAATGTCTGATTATAAGGAGAATTTTAAAGAGAGTATTTCCATTTTTTTACTTTTCATATGAGCGGGATATAAATACCTCATTTCATTTCATTTCATGCTGATTCACCTTTTGCACATTTATTAACATTCGTTTTCTGCTGTTTGCTCAGTCTCATCTGCTGGTTGATTCCTAAAGAGCATGTGTAATTGTATTAACCTAATATCCACTGTTACGGAGTTGTACAATTGTAAAATAGTAATATTTGGCTAAAATTTGCAGGGTTCTGCCTATGTAGATTGTAGAATAGCGTACTTATTGTCTCTCTCATCTGATTGTAACCGGTCAAAACTCCACGCTATGCTCTCTCGAACCACCAATTTGTAAACATGCACCCAGAACGTTTGTACATCCTCCTTTAGCAGAACGTGAAATATGAATATGAAAACACCCTGAAATATAAAAATATGAACTTCAGGTCTTTATTTGCGAGATGAGTACTACAATGGTGCATATAACATTGAGGGCAAATTATGAATTTGAAACTAAAATGGTTTACCCAATCATTAATTGAAACTTAGAAATGGACGTAAGCATAGGTTTATGTCAAATGTTAAATTGTCAAATACCATACAGATGGTATAAATCATAATAATGGCCACTCCTGAAAACATGATATAAAAAAATGAAATAAAAAAATGAAATAAAAAAATGAAATAAAATTAAATGAAATAAAAAAATGAAATAAAAAAAAGAAATAAAAAATGAGGTCAAATGAATACCTGTGGGGTGTTCACTAATATGAAAGTCCATCTGATGATTTTTGACAAATCACTGTCCGTACTGTCTACCAGGAGAAAGAACCCAACAATCCAGCCTAGTCCCAACAAGGTTGTAACAAATAACGCGGACCTAAGCTGTCTCTGCAGGGGCAGGAATGCAAATGTTTGTGATTTCGTGATTTAAAAGTTTAACATCAAACTACTATTAATTGTTTAAGCTTTTAAGGGATTCATTGATTCAAGAACTTGTTAGATAATAGATGGATAGTAATTTTTATAAGCATCTCCGTAAGTGGTAAAGCGTAAAGCTTACCATTAAATGCGTGGTACTTACCACTCTCATTTTTACTTTTGTTATCTCCGTTTGTTCAGCTCTGGCTGTCGTGGCTTTAAAAACAGCTCGAATGATGAAGAAAAACAATATCCAATTTATCATAATCCCAAATGCCATGGGAGCATAGAAAGTTACGAGTCCGAAGGATTTCCTCACAAAGCATCTGCAGAGTAATTAATATATAAAATTACTGTTTAAATCGTCTAATTAGCGATAGTTAATTTGAGCGTTATAAATTAATTTATATCAAGCGCACATTCAGGCCTGAGGTACAAATAAATTCACATGTTTACTTATTTTAAATAAACTAACGTTTCTGGGTTAACGAACTGCTCATCACCCCAAACAAATCCCAATATAGGAAAGACAAGAGGGAGTCCCCAGCCAATAATACAGTACTTCAGCTTAGCTGCACTAATGTGAGTGTTAAATACTTGCACTACTGCTTTGTACAAGGTTACCGCTTCCAAAACCATCCAGTTCAACTGACACAGCCAAAAGTAGTTCAGTAGAAACGCAATCTGAAGTTGGATTAATTTAAACTAAGTTAAATTAAGTTATACAAATTTGTATAAATTAGTTTGCATAACATAACCATGGTAACCATGATTTAAAATATACCCAATTACTATTGTGAAGCAAGCAATAAACATGGATGTGGATTCTGGTGGGGAGGCATTTTGACATTGATAACCAATCAAACTCCACATTTCCTGTCACGTGTAAAAAATATGCCCCACCAGGATCTCTGCATCTAATTTATTTGAATCAAGGAATATTTACGAGGAGACTTACAGTTGAACATGATGTGCTCGGATTACCCTCCGTATCTGCAACAATGTCTATCAAGAGGAAGCAGATAATAGAGGGAATGAGAGATAACATTAGCATGAGATGGATCCAGTTCGGTAACATCGACAAAATTGCCCTGAAAAGTGTTTTTGATTTGTTAATTTTTTATTGTTGGGTAAGCGAATTGATATTTGATTCGATGCTGTACGTACTTACGTATAATTTTATAATGATCAAGATATACAAAATCGGACTTTATTTGAACGGAAATTAATTGAACGCTGGATGCCTTAGCGTTCATTTTAATGTTCATTCAAATAAAGTCCGACAAGGTAGTTAAATTAAATGCATTAAATGAACGCTTTTGAGTGTCCTTTGAAAATTATGCCCGGTCAAATATAACGTCCGATAAGGATTATAAATAATTACGATAACATAATTACTGTAACATAGCTGGAATATTGAACACGAAATATTACTTGTTAGGTAAGATTGGTTAGTTTGTGTCTACGTGGTGTGGATACTGGGCTCCCCCCTCGATGATTAGTTAGTTTGTTACTTACGTGTTAGGTAAGATCGCTGCCACCTGCCAGAAGCAAGCATAATAGGCTTACCCAATAGAGTTTCGTGAAACACGTCTTCAGCTACGCTCGACTTGTTCGTTAACGTCTAAAAGTAAGACTAGAAAATGCAAGCTATAAAAACAAGGATTCAAAGGAAGAAAAAATGAATTTCACATTCTTTTATTCAAATTTTGTTAATTCAATTTATTCCAAGAAGTAGAGTGTAAATCTATCTGTATACATAAATTTGTATTTCTACTGCACTCCATACCATGATAACAGCGAAACTGGTCATGTGATCACACTCACACTCTACAGACCCCGACTCTGTCACGCTTGTAGTACACCCGTTGGTGACCACTTGTTGCTGGTTGTCTCAGAGTAGCTTACACTCATTGATCACCTGAAAACGTACCGTGTGTATTAACCCCCAATTTACGGCGAAGTTTGGGGGAAAAGTTTGTGTAAATTGGATAGTTTACGGGACCTAAGGGAATTCATGACTTGATAAGATTCATATCTTCTTGATTTTTTTTTTTTTAAAACCCCAATTGCTATTTAAACCAAGGGTAAAAAGGCAACCGAATGATTATTTTACTGCCAAAAAAAATGGCCCAAAGGGGAGGCGATATATAAGAAGAAAACTCAGCTTTTTTGACTTGTATGCTACCCCGTCCAAGTTTTTTTTGGGTTTTCTGTATCCACGAAGTCAAACTTCATGCAAAGGATAATCAGGATTTTTGTAGCACGTTTTGAGCTGCACCCACAACCTTCCTCGGGAAACTTTCCTAGAAAAAAGTAACTTTAAATTTTTTTAATTTCAAGCAAGCCCCGAAGGGGTTGTTTCAACTTCCCGTAAAAACTAGTTGTTTAATTTTAAAAAAATTGGAAAATTTAGTCGATTAAGATTTAAAAGACTTTGGGATTTTTTAAAGTAAAATATTTAACTAAATGTCAAGTTCTAAGTAGTAAAACAAATTTGTTGGATTTGGTGGCGACTGGAAAGCAGTGTTGTCCTTGTAAATAAGAGCTGCTAGATTCTTGATGTTGCTATTTTGGTTAACGTTTATACGAATGTTGGAATCTCCGATGGTTGTATTGGCATCAGCAGCGTTTTGTACCAAGAAGACGTCTGTTGTGTCCTGTTGTGATATACGTGTGAATCTGTTTTTATAACTATATACCTATATACCTATATACCTATATACCTATATACCTATATACCTATATAGTATATACCTATATATTATATATCGTTCGCGACATGGAGTTCATCTTGTAGCGCAGAAAATCATATATTCAAAATTATAAATGTTTGAGTTTAATCTTATAACTTACTGTGGCGAAGGATACTAAATTATCTCCAATCTTCATATGTTCCAATGACAGCATGGCTATGTGTTCAAAGCAATTCACGATGTCGTTTTTTACTCTGTGTTGGGTCCGGTAGAGGTTATTGCTAGCGGCCATCATATTGGGAAACAATTGTCATATCACTCGTTGCGTCGTAGCTTTTCAATTGAATCCCCCTATTCAGGAAGGTTGAATGTCATAACTTATTGGACGTTGTTTGACAGGACATTGCGTGAACGGGCATAATTTTTAACGAACATTAAAATGAACGCTTGAGGGCATTCAGTTAATGCATTTAATTTAACTACCTTAGTCCTATTGTAGTTATTGAACTGACATTAAATGAACGCAGGGCAAATATCCTAACAAAAAGAAAATACAAATTCTGATTATACAATCAGCAGACAATGAATTGAGTATTGATCATGATGTATGCTTACCAAAGTAACAACTTACAGTGTCGCTGCTAAAGACAGTCTCGACTTTTTCATCTGTCATCTTCTTAACAACTGTTTCGATATCCTTTGGAGCAATATCTTCTGTTTTCGTGGTTTGTTCATTCAGTTTTTCTATGCCGGCCTCAGTTTCAACGTCAATCTGAACATATGTTATTCACCATAAATCCTAATCCACAAAGCTTATTAGATAAGCATTTGGCATAAATTTGGAGGGGTCACGATCACAGATCAAACGTTGACAAGCTTTAACAATCTAAGGGGTATTATGCCTTAATCTATTTCCATAGTAAAGTTCAACGGTGGTTAAGCATCCATTTTCTAAAAAGCAACACACCTTTTTAATCTCCTCTGACTGTTTGGAGTCACATGCGCTCAGGTCCGGTAGCTCCCACTGACCCTCCATATTGCATAGTCTGACAGCTGAGCTGTCATTGTTGTATAAACATTGACCTCTACTTTCCTCACCTGGACAAGGTTTGGTTAATGTTTACTCCAACTAAAAAAAATGTTAGACCTGTTTTTGTATCAAACGTTGATAAATATAATGATTGTGGATCGATTTCAATAGTCTCACAAAATATTTTTCATGTCGATATCATAGCATGACTATTTTATTTGATGGCAATCTGAGAGGCTAGACCTAACTTTACCTGCTTGCACAGAAGTAAAAGATATAACTCCAACTGCAGAGTGGAAGAACCTGGTCGTCCTTTTGGGCAGACCTTTCCCTTTACTAAAAATAAGCTCGGTCAGTGATGGGGGTTTTAAAATTTTACAAAATTAAAACTTTCAAAGTTGGACACCGTTAAATCACATTTTGATCTGTTAAAATTGAAAGATTACTGCTCCCTTTAATATTTGTACCACTTTGTGAATACGAATAGTTAAGGATGGAATTGGAAAGCTCAACAAGAAATACAGCCGATTTTCTTTTGTGGATGGCCGCTCAATTTCCCGATCCGTGATGGCTTATTTTATTATATTCAATATAACCTGGGTCCCCAGTCTTTGTTGTTTATAAGCATGCAGATATAGCGGAGTGACATGCCGAGCGCCGCCCAGTTAATTCCATATTGAATTTGAAAATCGTGTAACCGACATTAACTTGTCTTAATGTTGTCTTAATGTTGCCTTAATGTTTGCTTTAATGTTCATGCCTTAATTTTGTCTTAATGTTGTCTTATCGTCAGTATTTCAGTCTATGTTTATTCGCACACATTATTGCATTTCTAAGATTAACATACATTTCAGGATGAACCCCTTCGGTCCCTCCAATTTTTAGAAAACAACAACTTACTCCATGTGCAGTCACTTTCTTGTGTTCCTGCTCCAGAGGCTACCCCTTTTTCAGCTGACATGGCGTGCGGTAAAGCTGAGTTTGCTGCAGCAATCCATGTTTCTGCCGAAGGCATAAAAGCCAGTGACGGATTCAAAAATCGCCCCAAACAATTCTTTGCAAGATATCAGTTTTTTTGTATTAGTTTAAATTTCAGCCCCTGGCAAACAGCTTTAAGATTCGAAGTACCCTTTTAGGGTGGGTTCGCTTTTATTTGAATTTGGATAATGTCAAAGTGTGTGGGGTGGTGTTCAATTCAATATTGCATTTCATTCAAGGAAATTTTTTCGGCAT